GAGTAGAGTACAATATGGAAATAAACATCTGTGGTGATATTTGTAATCTAAGAAATAAAGCTTGCCTGAAGATCAGAGAGACAAAGGAACAAGCCATTAGAGAAACTTCTCACCACTACCCAATCCTCAGGCTGAATGGAAGGTGGGATCCTATCTCCAGGAATCCTGTGATTGAATGCTCCTGAGTCCTCAGCTGGAAGGGCTCTAGTTCCTGTCTCCTCAGGCCTTATATGCCTTTCTCTGCCCAGCCATTTCACTTCTTATCTCAACCTTCCTAGTGCTGGGATTAATGGCATGTGTGCTTCCCAAATACTGGGGTTAAAGGTGTGTGCCACCACTGCCTGGCTCTGTGTCTCTCCTAGACTGGATCAATCTCATGTAGCCCAGTGTGGCCTTGAACTCACAGAGATCTCTGCCTCCCAGTGCTAGGATTAAAGGTATGCGCCACCTCTGCCTGACCTCTATGTTTAACTCTGTGGCTGGCTCTGTCCTCTAATCTTCAGGCAAGTTTTATTAGAGTACAACAAAATATCACCACATTTCCCCTTTTTTGTCTAAAATTGTAAGGTTATAACTAATATAAGAAAAACTATATACAATAAGTACAATAACTATATGCGATATATACAATCAATAATTACATTAACAATGTCCAGTCCAGCCAGGCGGGGTTGGTGCATGCCTTTAATCCCAGCACTTGGGAGGCAGAGGCAGGCAGATCTCTGTGAGTTCGAGGCCAGCCTGGTCTACAAAGTGAGTTCCAGGAAAGGCACAAAGCTACACAGAGAAACCCTGTCTTGAAAAAAAAAAATGTCCAGTCCATAAACATTTGACAAATTCGGAGAAAATACTCCATTATCTATCCTATTTTGGTGAGTCCAAAATATTGTACCTTATTCACTTTCTGTCCTAACTTGTACTACCAACTGAAAGCTCTCTTTTGATGTCTTTGAAACTTACACACTGTACACCTTTAAGTTCAAGGCCACACTGGGCTACATGAGATTGATCCAGTCTAGGAGAGAAACAGAGCCAGGCAGTGGTGGCACACACCTTTAATCTCACTATTGGGAAGCACACATGCCATTAATCCCAGCACTAGGAAGGTTGATAAAGGAAGTGAAATGACTGGGTGGAGAAAGGCATATAAAGCCTGAGGAGACAAGAACTAGAGAGCCTTTTGGCTGAGGACTCAGGAGCATTCAGTCAGAGGATTTGTGGAGCTGGCGAGGTGAGAGGTGGCTGTGGCTTGTTCCTTTGTCTCTCCGATCTTTCAGCATTTACCCCAATATCTGGCTCTGCTGTTTTTATAAGAAGATCATTTAGGATTCCTGCATCCAACATCCATTGCTTTTTCTATGTAGATATTCAACTAATCCAGAGCTATGGGCTGTCATGTGTGCCATGCATGCATGCATCAGCATCCTAAGCTGCAATGCTGCATAAAGCCAGGAGCTGAGCACACAGGGTTATGCCTCCGTAATGGGTATCTGCTTCCCCACTGATTCCACTAGCCAGGCTTCTTTGGTGAAAATGTACACAAAGACCCACTCCAAGACAGTGAGTGGCTTCCAACCGTTGTTTCTTATGGGTCGGCGGTATTTCTTCTGGCCATCTCAGGGACGACTGAACTGGGCTCCGGGTGTAGTCTTGGCCCAGAGACGCTTGTCTGACTCTTCCTCCCGGGACTGGCGGCCCCAGGGCTATACGACTACTTCTGCCATTTTTCCAGGCTGGCATTGCATCTGCAGGAAAAAGAACGAGACGCGTCCCCTCCACATCTCTGAGGCTTTGGAGGTCCCTATATTCACAGCTACAAATTCAGCCTCCTCTTCAGTCACCCACTCACAACTTCCATGTAAGGGGACTGAGTATGAGATGGACAAAGGCCGGTGGAGCTAGATGTTGGGGCAGGAGCTCAGCCTTCACACTCCGGGACCGTGTCAATCTGTCCAAGCACCCAGGTGGCTCAGGTAGTATGTGTGCAAGTTAGGAGCTCACCTGGAGAAGGTGGGTGATGTGGCACCAACCCCCGAGGAAACCATTCCAGCACCCAACAATGCCGGGAATCCCGTGGGTGGCTGGGAGCCTGGAGTGCCCTTGAAGACCTCAACTTCTGACCAGTTCAGACAAACAAAATATACCTGAGGGCTGTTTTTTTGTGTGGTCTATGAACTAAGAATGTTTTTTATGTTTTTAAAGGGTTGGAAACAAAACAAAGCAAAATGTGTAACCGAGTCCGCGTGTGGCCCCCCCCAAAGCCTAACATAGCGGCTGTCAGCCTTGGTGCGGATGCTTGCTATGGTGAGCAAAGCTGGATGCGACTCAGGTCAGTTTCAGCTCACAGGTCCAGACAGAAGCTGCAGTGTGCCTCCTGGCCAGAGAGTGCCCACAATGGAGCATCTCCGAGTTACCCTGAGAGGGGCCTGACCCCCATGTTGTCAGCATACCACAGAGGTCGGGTGACATCTAGGCATCATGGCCTCCCTCTCTGTAAGGAACGCAGCAGGAGGCTTGCCTCCGTGGGCCACCGTATCTTCTTAAACAGAGGCCTCTGCTGATACCAGGCTGCGCTGCGAGGTGGCAATCCTGTCCGTGCCAATGATAGTCTGATAGTAGGTCGACCCCTGGGATGTGAAAGGCAGATTAGTACCACCTGGACCCAGTGAGAGCCTGTCTTCACCATGAGCTTCTGCCTGAGTTACCCAGAACGACATGAGCAGCCAAGATCTGTTTCCATCAGCCATCGCCCCCCTAATTAACAGTCTTCTTTGGGTTGGTAAAGATGTAGCAAGGGTGGCGTGAGCGTGTGCCTAATTGCCGGAGCTACTGGGACCACATCATAGTCACTGCCCATGCCTAGCCCTAAGGTGGTGACGCTTTAAACCTGTCAGGTCCCAATGGAGCCAGCCCATCCAGAATGAAGCCAGACCAAGGCCCTTTGATCCTGTGCTCTGGGATAGGCAGAGAGTGAACGCTGTTTCTCTCAAAAGAGTGGCTGCCCACACAGCTTGTCTTGCATGTTCTTGACTGTGCACTCCTGTTGGCGGATCCTTCTCCTGGCCATCGTGAGAACTGACCCCAAAGTGGAGGAATTGTAGCAGCCCAGTTATAGATGACGGGTTGGCTTATTTGGTGGCTGCCTTTGCAAGTAACATGGATGTGTAGGGAACTCAGCCTCATAGCCTTGGAGTCTAACCAGGGTATAATTTTTTTCCTACTGAGTCAGATGACAGGGAAGCAAACTGAGGGACAGTCTTCAGGTCCCGGAGTCCCCCTCTTTGGAAGTAGCAGCCCTGAACTGTAGACTGACTCCTGAGATGAGAGATTTCCAGTGAGGAACTCCTGCTTGCACTCTCATAGGGAAGCTGCGGCAGAGCCAGGCCCCACAGTTCTGGGCCCAGGAACCCTAGTCCTGCCCACACGAATCACCCAGCTCTGTACTGCAGTTCTGACTTCTCACGGCCTGGTGGGCTATGGCAGGGCAGGTGCCCAGAGAATCCTGAATCCGCTGCTCCCGGCTCCAACAACTACCTATATAGTTTTCATCCATGCCAGGCTCAGAGCCCCTCAGCAAGTGTTTTATTCCTACAGTCATTTGTCTCAGCCTCTGGCCTGTTTGGCCCAGGCCTAGACCCACCGTGGCCATAGCCTTACAGCCAGAGTATAGAGTGACATCATCCCTCAGAAAGGGATTGATCCACAGACCAAGCCTGTCCACAGCCTGTGTTCATAGGATGCTGTTCAATCCTAAACACCAGCTCACTTCTGCTGAAAGCAACACTGGAGGACTCCCCTCACCAAGGGACCGGTGATGAGAATCCCAGACCCTTCAGTCCCACACCAGCAGGACTGGCATTTGCTTTTCTTATCCATATTTTTCGGCTGCCAGATACCAACAGAAGACAAGGCCCCTGGGTCACTGAGGCAGACTTTTGTGACTCCACACAGCAGGCAGCTGGGCACACTGGGTCTGTGTCACCCCTAGGGGCGGAGCATCACTACTTTTCAGTAGCAGTGAGCAGCCTACTTCCTGTCCCTTCTGCCTTGAAATTGCTTAAGGCCAATAGGACCTTGGGAAATGTCCAGGGGAAGAGCGGTCAGTCTGACATTTGGGGTACCTAGAGGAATTCTTTTCATCTAGGAGTGCAAAGGACACCCCCCCAAGACAGTCTCTCCTTACGAGGACAGGCCATCTGCATGCATACACATCATGCACACTGCCTACACCTCCTCCCCCAACATATATCATTTTGTCTTTTCCTGCACTGAGGCAAATCCCTGTTGGGTGTCTTAGTTTTTCTGTTCAAGCATTTCTGGTTGCTGCAGCTGTGGCCTCTTGTGGTTGCCTCTTGTAGTGTCATGTTGCCTCTATTCTTCTGAAGCCTCAGCTGGAATTCAGGCTCACAGGGGTCCCTAGGCCCCTCCCAGCCTTCAAGGGGCACAGTTAGCCTGCTGGACAGCATCATAGCTTCACTAATCAACCATATTTGGCACCATTGGACACCGTCATCACCCAGATGTTCCTCCTGGGCCAAGGACTGGATGAACTCTGCTCACCTGGAGCTTGGGCCCCCGAAAAACTAATGTTCCAGTGATGACTTCCCAGCCAAGACTGCAAAGGCCCTCAGACACATGCTCAGTTTCAAGAGCCACTCAGGAAGGCCAGCCATGAAGCTCTCCACAAGGGCACCTGCGCTCTGCCGGGATTCATGGCCAGCTCCCATAAGGCAGTTTCTGCTGCCAGTCCTCACACTTCCTTCACCAGGAGCCAGACAGAGAGCTGGGCTGCCCAATTCTCCCATGGATGGGACTAGTTTTCTCAACTCCTTCAAGTGTGCCAGGCAAGTTCACAGCATCCTGCCTCAAAGCCTTGTGGGTCAGCACTAGGGCTCTACACACCTCACCGAGCCCTACTTTTCCTAGAGTTGGGGTTTCCTCACTCCCTACCATTTCAAAGCCAGTACACATCTAGGGATCAATTTTACACGTGAGCGATGGGGTTCAGCACCCTACAGGATCCCTCCTCCTTGAACCGGTGCCAATCAGGCACGTGTGTCCCTTGAGAACGAACCAAGCCAGTGTGTTTAGACCCTGACAACAAAGTGTCCTGGAAACCAGTGAGTCACCTGGCTTTTCCAGCCATGGGGTAAGGAATTGCATTACACCAGCAGTTACTCCAGACGTATTTCACAGTTGGATGGATTTTTGGAGTTCAAACAACACACCATTGGGGTTTAATGACCAGAGTCTTGAGTCTGCAGATCACTTTGAGATGGATGCATATCTTTCTGTCCTATTGTGTTTAATCGGTTCTTGATTTCCCCCCCCAGGAATGTGTTGTGTTTTAAAAAGCAGAGTCCTAGCACACCTTTCATGAGATCTTTTCTGAGGCATTTGGTAGTTTTTGTTGTTGTTTTGGTCTTTGGAGATGGGGTTTCTCTGTGTAACTACCCCTGGCTATCCTGGAAACGCACTCTGTAGACCAGGCTAGCATTGAACTCAGAGAGCCATCTACCTCTGCCCCCCAAGTGCTGGGATTAAAGGTGTGTGCCACCTCCACCTGGCATGGTTTTTAATGCTTAGGAAATGCCTTTCTTTTTGTAGTGCACTATGGAACAAAACTCACATGGTAAGGACAGGTCTCTGGAGAGCAGGATGGGTTCTTACACGTCAAGTCTACATGGCCACAATCAAGATAAGGAATATTTCTCCCCTATTCCTCATGTCTGGGAGATGGCTACTGTATGTGTCTTAGCAGCTGCTCCCAAATAACCACAAAGAAATGTAGAATTAGTTATAAATGCTCAGGCAATAGCTCAGGCTGGTTACTAGCTAGCTCTAATTTTAATTAATTTTAAATTAACCCATTTTTCTTATCTACCCTCTGCCACATGGTTGTGCCTTCTTTCAACATGGGACATTCATCTTGCTTCTCTCTGTATCTCCCGAGACTTCTCAGACTTCGCCCTCCTTCTTCCCAGCATTCTCTCTGCCCTGAAAATCCTGCCTAGCCATCAGCCAATCAGCTTTTTATTAACAATGAGAGCAATACGTATTTTCAGTGTACAAAGATTGTTCCACGGCAGGCTACCATTTGCCTTAAGTCATCATAGATGGTTTTTGACTGACCCTCACTTCTAAAGGGAGGAGTCTCACAGCCAAACATGGCTGTGTCTAGCCTCAAGCTAATGTGTAGTGGGACATCTCCCTTCCCAGTCCCATGCTCATCTTCACAGCTGAGCAGACTTGGTTCCAGTGAGTCGATTTGAAGTTTTTCTAGCCTGCTAGTGATGGGTCTATGCTGCTCTGACCATCCCTCTAGGACTCTTCCTGTGACCTATACATTCACTTCTCTTAGTCAGGTGCTCAGGGTCACAAATAAGGCTTGTATTTCACTTTTAAATTTTTTTTATTTATTATGTATACAATGTTCTGCTGGCTTGCCAGAAGAGGGCGCCAGATCTCATTACAGATGGTTGTGGGCCACCATGTGGTTGCTGGGAATTGAACTTAGGACCTCTGGAAGAGCAGCTGGGGCTCTTACCCTCTGAGCCATCTCTCCAGCCCTGTATTTCACTTTTGTAGAAACCCAGTTTCCACAAAGTGGCTGCAACATTTTACACCTGCAGCCCTGAGCATTGTGGGATATGATGGGTTCTGTCCTCCGATAGATATGTGTTGGTATTTCATTGTGGTGTTTCCTGATGTGTTGGTGAATTTGTATCCCCATCACCAAATTCCTGACATGAACAGCTCAAAGGAAGGAATCATTGAGTTTAGCTCAGGGCTTCACAGGCATCGGTCCATCATGGCAGAGACACCATGTCTTGGAGCGGAACCACTCACTTCGTGGTAGACAGGAAACAGAATATAACCATAGCAGGAAGGGCAGGGCCAAGCTGGAGCCTCTGAGGACAAGCTTCCATTGGCCTGCGTCTTCCAGCTAAGCACCACCTTCCATGGTTGCACCTCCCAGTATAATCTAACTTGAACTCTGGGCTGTGATACATCTCAGTGTATTGCATCATACCTACCACTGCATAAACCAAGAGCATGGTGGCACCCGCCTCTAGTCCTAGTACTGGAGTTCGAAGCCAGCCTGGAATATGTGAGACCTTGTCTCAAAAAAAAAAAAAAAAAATAGCTTTTGACTCCAGAAATAGGATTGGCACACTTGTCAGATCAGAGTCCTCATGTCTACCGTCTCTGGAATCCCATTGCAAACACGTCAGAGGTGTGCTTCACTGCTCTCCTAGGTGGCTCTTAATCCTGTCAAGGTGACAGTCAATAACCGTCACCCTGGATGGCTAACCATGTTCAGTGTGCCTCTCTCTGTGAGGTGCTTCACTAAGGCTTTTCTCCATTTTTTAAGTTAGGTCTTGTGCCTCTTGGCTTTATCTGTCTAGTTTTTCCACATCCTGTATGTTTACTTGGCAGCTACGTGTGCTGGCAACTGCCTTCCCAGTCCGTGGCTTGTCTTTCCCCCTCCTTAGTACTGTCTATCCCTCCTTCCTCCCTCCCTCCCTCCCTCCCTCCCTCTCTCTCTCCCTCCCTTCTTCCCTCCCTTCCTTTCTTCCTCCCTCCCTCCTTCCCTTCCTTTCTTCCTCCCTCCCTCCCTCCTTCCCTTCCTTTCTTCCTCCCTCCCTCCTTCCCTTCCTTTCTTCCTCCCT